TTTGTCTATTTCTTTGAAAAATGGCTTCGGTATCCTGAAGGACTGCACTCATTTGTGGAGTATAGAATAACATAGCATGAGACTGACACCCAAGGGCAGTAGATATAAGGACCAGGAAGATTGCTCCATAGTTGGAAGCCCTCCTCATGAGCAGAGGGGAGAAGGCAGATGGAATAGAGAAGGGATCACTAAGAAAATTATGGCTTGAGGAATCTGTTGTGATGGGAGATGTGTGCTGAAAGTAGATAATGGACCAAACATGATGACTTCTCAGTGCCTGTATTGCAAACCATAATGTCCAAAAGTAGAGAGTATGGGGAATATTGTCTGCCATGGAGGCAAGGGGAGGGTTGGAAAGTGGGGGGGGGGGGTATGCCGGGGATATTGGTGGTGGGGAATGTGCACTGGTTGGAGAGATGGGTCTTTGATCATGTGTGATTGTAACCCAAACATGAAAGCTTGTAACTATCTCACGGTGATTCAGTAAAATTAAAAAAAGAATCATGTGAGGCAAATACTCTCTTTTCCCACCCAACATTGACCTTCCATTGGTTCAAAACTTGGTAAGTGGTTTTTTTTTTTTAAATTTAGTTACCTATACTCAGAACTTCCCCTTGTCCACCTACACTTTGGAGGTGACATCTTCTCATTCATCCTCAAAGTCTTAGATTATGTGTGACAATCTCAGACATGACTGTCTATAACAGTTTCCTCACAAATCACTTAACACATGTGTAAGTTCTTTCTCCATTCAACCATAAACTAAATTGTGGGCATGGGACTCCATCTTTCTCTTTTCATGCTTTTTACTTTTCTCCACCATTTGGCACATAACAAGTACAACCTTAAACATCTGCTGAAGTGTGAATTAATCCCAGTTTAAGAAACATAGAAACTGAAGTTTGAAGAAGTTGAATAATTTGCTCATTGACGGTCAACTAGGAATTTGACTCAAGCTTAGTTCTGCCTGACTCCAGTCCTTTACTATCTCGGTTGGCTTGACTTGGAGGACTTCCAAGAGAATATGTGGTAGGATTTCAAAATTTTCATCACATTTTATATTTCTCTACACCACCAAGAGAACTTGGACTACCCTAAAAAGTGTTCATTTCTAATTACAGAACCAGGTCCCTTGATAATATACTGTGAAGAATTTTATTTTACTCCCCTGTATATGGAATCAGCCACCCCTGTAATAAGTTATTCACTCATCAGGATTTTTCTCTTTCAGAGTAATACAGACATTATCTGTTTAATCTTCACCAAACTAATGTGTAATTGATGTCAGTAACACTGTGTGATTTTCCTGTAATCAGAAAGGATTGTTGGGAAGGGAGAAACGGAACCAGAAAACCCATAGGGGACATATTTAACTCAAGAACAATGTCTTATGTTTTCAGAGTTCAACGGAAGTTAAAGAAAACGCAGTAGTATGCGTGGTTTCAATAGTCTGACTCCTTCTTCCCTGCAGCTAACATTTTGAACTAGTTAAATACATAATTATCTTTCCATCTTAAGTTTATTATATGGTAGCATTAATAACATCTTATATACAAAGCACTTTTAATACAATATGAAAAATGAAAAGCCAAGGATACTTTTTCTATAGATGTTAAGCACTGAATAACAGAATTGATCATTATACCCTTCAAATCTTAGTTGCTACTTTTTAAATATTTTAAGTCATTGTGCCACAATTCATTAAAGGGATATTAAGGGATATTAAACATCACTTTCTCTTTCTCTGTCTCTGTCTCTCTCTCATACACACATACACACATATGCAAGCACATATAAACAATTGTTATCAATAGAAAATATGATCAAATATATGCCTGGGCTAGATTTGTCATTTTATAGTAATCATGATGGACAATTCTTCCTACCCTTTATGTGTCCAAGAGATGATTACACACTTAGGAATGTTGACTCAGGAAAGTTCACATGTGTGAACAAATAAATACAAATAAGTACCAAACAAATATTTGCATTAATGTGAGGCTATGCAAAAATACATTCTTCATATATTAAATTTTTTCAGTGATTTGGTAAGCAGAGAATATCTCTGTTTTACAGATAAGGATACTTGGTCAGGGAAGTGGTCATCTGCAAAGCCCTAGTGAAAGTCTATCACTCCTTTCTTCTGGAAGAAATATTCCTATAAAAATTATCATGACATGACTTATGATAGTTCAAGGATTGAGACACTATAATATGAAGAAACCTAGATGTAAGCATTGAGCAATGAAAATTACTTACTCCTTATTTTTACCATGCCAAGAATTAATCAAAAAAGCATGCCTTATCATGACAAATGAACACATCCTCACAACATAGATAATTTTAGCTTCCTTTTCATCCTGGCATTGTGTGTATTCTTGACAAACAAGAAAAAATGAGCAAAATACAGTTTTTCTATACTATTTGGATATTGGTTTCAAGGGACTGGTGGTCATAAAGGTTCAAATAGATATTGAGTCTAAATTTACTATTTTATGGCCTCAAGCATCTTACCATGGAGGTCATTCACCTCTATTTAAAGTAATAATATTTATTAAAATGTATTGTGTACTTATTCTGTGTGAAAATATATGCTGTTTCACAACCTCCAGACACGTAAAATATTTTGTTCCTACAATAATCACTGTATCTTTTGTCAAAGTTGCTTACTTTGACAAATGATAGTGTTAAAAAATTTAAAAATAACTACTTTCAAATACTTATTTTTAAATACTCACTTTAAAGCTAATAATACACATCACACAAGTGATCCACAAGATAATGTGTGGATCTTCCCCTGTGAAGATTTTATTGTTAGCCAATTTTTTTTCTTATAAAGTTAAGTGCGTCATTGGGACAAAGAGTTTTGAGGCTTTTCTTCCGAAATTGGTTAATCTGAAGTGACGTGTGTTATGGACAGCAAAAATGTTGCCTTTGAACTTTTGACTGGACAGGCTGATTTAGCCACTTAAACAAACAGCCTTCTTTCCACAAACTGTGCCTCTTTTCATAAATAGCAAAATCAAACAAGACTTGTCAAGGTGTGGGAGTTTTAAACCATCTCTCAAGGTCACATTCAGAGCATATATATTCAGACATCTCTTGCTATGTTGCCTGAACCAGTGTTCTTAGAAGAAGCCTAAGCTTCTGTAAGAAATTGAATTCCAAAATTAACATAAAATAAAATAAATTGGGAGTGTGACTGAATGGGCTAGTTCACATTATAGATTTTCTTTGGAAATTAAATTTAAATTTTGTTGAATTTAGTCAAACTTTTCTTTCCATTTTCGTTCTCCCCCACCCACTCAGTTTTTGTTCTTTCTTACAAACTTTTCTGGGTTTCTGCTTCTAATGCTCTGTCCCTGGTTCTTAAAGATCCAGTTGAATAAGATATTAACTGCTAACCCATGCTTTTCAATAGTATTGAAAGCATTGCAAGAAAGTACAAACAAGTACCATAAAGCACGTTAACTGCTAATCAGTGGTTTTTAACAGTAACACTGAGATCTTGTGCTCCAAAGAAGGGGTTGGCTTTAACAGACACTGAAATCTTGGGCTCTAAAATAATACTGCTTACATTTTCACCTACCCTTCAACTCATGAGCTCTATAAACATCTGATGACACCTTAAAATTATGCATTGTTTCAAAAGACAAAACATTCATTGCATAACATCATAGCAAATAACAAGAAGAAACGAAGGCAACACCGCCAATGCTTTCCTGCTGGAAACGTATTGTTAACCACTGGGATATTGCTTTTGAGTGATGTGAGATTATTTTACTATCATCGAAGATATGGCCGCTATTTACACACTTAAACATCATTATTTATTTATTTATTTATTTATTTTAATTTTTATTAGTGAAACACCATGAGGTACAGCTGCAGACTTACAAAGTTTTGTGCTTGGGTTTCAGTTATACAATGATTGAGTACCCATCCCTCCACCAGTGCCCATTCCCCACCTGCAATGCTCCCAGCATCCCTCCCACTCCCTCACTCCATCTCCATTCCACCCCACCCCTGTGGCAAGGCATTCCCTTTTGTTCTCTCTCTCCTTTTGGACACTGTGATTTGCAAAAGAGGCATTGAGTGGCAATCATGTTTGGTCTATAGTATACTTTCAGCACGCATCTCTCATCCTGGGAGGATCCTCCCAGCACCCTTTACTTGGTACTCCCCTCTCTATCTAAGCTGCCTTTTCCCCCAGCATGTGTGGCTGGCCTCCAAGCCATGGAGTGAACCTCCTAGTACTTATCTCGGCTATTCTTGGGTGTTAGTCTCCCATTTTGTTACTTTATATTCTCCAGATGAATGCAGTCTTTCTATGTCTGTCCCTCTCTTTCTGACTCATTTCATTTAGCATGATACTTTCCATGTAGTACCACTTGTATGTAAATTTCATAACTTCATCTTTTCTAACAACTGCATAGTACTCCATTGTGTAGATGTACCGAAGTCAAACAGAATTATTTTGGCCTTGTGTTTAATTTTTCTCCATGTACTATCATTCCAGTTTGCCAAAGTGTTTTTTTCAGACATTCATTCCCCAATCCTCATCATCATTCTGGCTTTCATTTTCTAGTCTAAACCAAAATATGATTCCACAAATCAGAAGAACCATAAGCTCACTCTGGATTGATGTTAACCTCTTCATATTTTAATTTTTAATTTTTATTAAGGAACCATGATTTACAAAGTCATTGATTGTTGAGCCTTAGACATATAATATTCTAGTACCATTCCCACCACCTGTGTCAACTTCCTTCCAACATTGTTCCCAAAGTCCCTGTAGTCCCTGATGGTTCCACCCCACACCCTCGCGGCGCCCCGTGGGGGGGTCGGGTGGGAGGGGTGGCTGGTACTTCTTAAAGTTGGGTTGTTGTACTTTGTAGCTCATATTTTCAGTATTAGATACTATGCTTTAATGGATGTATATTATTAGGTCAATATCACCCAAATAAATGCCTTCTCTTTTATTTCTTTGTTCTCCACAGCTTTTTGCAATCTTTGCATTTGCAACATGCGGTGGCTATTCTGGAGCCCTGCGGCTGAGCGTGGACTGCGTCAACAAGACCGAAAGTAACCTCAGCATTGATGTAGCATTTGCTTACCCATTCAGGTAGGGAATGCGATTTGTGCTTACTGCATTCAAAAAGGACATTTATTTTCTTCTTGGTTTTTAAAAAGAAAATATGGTCTTCTATGGACATATAAGTAAATGAAAGCATTCTGTCAGAACCTGCAAAATATAAAGGTAAAAAGGTAAAGGCCCTCCCGTTGATCGTCGATTTGCTCGAGCGGGCCCAGTAACGTCTCCATTGGAGACTTTGTTGTTACTGTGTCTGGCATATCGAATACTCTCGGTAGCTTGGCGGGCTCTCCGAGAGGGGCGGAGGAATCGAACTCGGGTCGGCCATGTTGGCCGCTTGTAAGGCGAACGCCCTACCCGCTGTGCTATCGCTCCAGCCCTGCAAAATATACTAAGAAGTAAAGCAAAATATCCTAAGAAGTAAAATTAACACTCAACACCTCCATGGGAGAGCATATTTAATGATAATTAGCTCCCCTCTAAAAAGAAGAATGCGGGGTTGGAGCAATACCACAGCAGGTAGGGTGTTTGCCTTGGATATGGCCTACCAGTGTTAGAGTTCCAACATCCCATATGGCCCACCAAGCACAGGCAGGAGTAATTCCTGAGTGCAAAGAGAGTCAGGAGTAACCCCTGTGCCTCGCCGGGTGTGACCCAAAAAGAAAAAAAAAAATAAAAATTTTTAAAAAATTAAAAAAATAGGGACCAGAGAGATAGCACAGAGGGTAGGGTGTTTGCCTTGCACACGGCCGACCCAGGTTTGATCCCCAGCATCCCATATGGTGCCCCAAGCACCGCCAGGAGTAATTCCTGAGTGCAGAGCCAGGAGTGACCACTGAGCATCGGTGAGAGTGATCCAAAAGGCAAAAACAGAAAGGAAGGAAGGAAAGAAAGAAGGAAGGAAGGAAGGAAGGAAGGAAGGAAGGAAGGAAGGAAGGAAGGAAGAAAATGCTGATGCAAATGGCCCATTATCAGTCAAGACATCTCTCAAGACAGCTGCCACCAGATATGTAATTCCTTCTTTCCTACTTGTAACCTCAGTCTCATCGTCTCTCACGGTCTCTCAAATTTTAAGTTCTGTTTTACCTTCTTTAATGACTTTCCCCAAAAGGTGTTATAGGAGCAGGCAATATAAAGGTCACTCTTTCTGATATAAAAAAAAAAAGCAACAGGCACTAAGATTGAATACATTGCTCTCTCTCAAACTGGAAAAGAGTAACAAGAAGAGAAACCAAAAGATGAGTAATGAACAGAGTAATATTTTATTTCACAATCCACAGGTAAATGTAATTTGAGAAGTCCCTCAGGAATTTACAGAATTCAGCTTCATCATTTTCTTCTGAAGACATATTGCTGATCCAACTATAGGCAACTTGAGAAATTATATACAAACGTTTTTGCCCTTTATAAATACAGTTACCCACTCATTTGATAGTGTTTAACTTGGGTTCTGAAACAAAGGCTATCAATCACTGTATTTTCTGTAACAGGATTTTACTTCCAAGTATTAGTTGACTCCTAAGAAGTTTTTCATACGGAAAAACAGTCATTGAAGGTGAAGCTGGGAAGAAAGTGCCTGAATCAGCACGTGATTTTTAAGAATTTTTATTTATTTATTTATTTATTGGCTTTTTGGATCACACTCCGCAATGCTTGAGGGTTACTCTCCTGGCTCTGCAGTCAGGCCTTGCTCAGGGGACAATATGGGATGCCCAGGATTTAACCCATGTCTGTCCTGTGCAAGGCAAACATCCTACCCACTGTGCTGTACTATTTTTCAAACCCCTCACCAGGTGCTTTTGCTTAACATCACTCTGCTACATGCATTGTCCTACCTTCTCTATGGTCTCCTAAGAACCTTGGGTCTCATAGAAGTAATTTAAAAAATCACTATTCTAGAGCAAACTAAGAAAGCTTTTTGCCACTCTATTTTAATCACATCTGTACAGCTCCCATTAAGGAATTAGGATAAGTGTGTCTCCTTTAAGTAATGCCTTACACTTTTGTTCAAGTCTTGAGCACCTTAGAGATAATGGCATCATCTCAATTATGCTAGTATTGCAACTTCCACAGGACATTTGGATGCTTGAAAATGTTGTGGTATTATCTCCATGGGAAAGAGTTCAATAATAAGTAACAACATCTAGAATTCATATAGATTATTTTGAAGTCTTTTATTTCAGAACAAGTTGAGTTAGCAAGATTTTGGTGATGGAAATCTTTAAAACGTTATTTTCTCTTAAAATGTCACAAGTCAATACCAATGATTTGATGATAATCTTAGAAATAAAATAAGTGGAGTCAGCAGCTTATACTCTACTTATTGCAAGCACAAGGAAGACAATAAACTCTTCTGCCAAGTCATTTGAACAAAAATAATTATTCTGTAAGTGACAGATCAAAGTTACCCTATTTCCTTACCAGATTATCAACTATGAGTGAGAAAATGTCAATTCCAAAAATTTTAGTTTCCAAAATGTTTGGGTACGTTTAACAAATATAACAAAGTGTGTTACTACCTTATATCACCACATGTACTGATTTTTTGCTCATAAAAGAGGAACTTACAATATAGCAATGTGTTATTTTACTATGAGAATAAAAAAATTTTGTCACCTAACATTTTGATTTATAAAAAAAACAAGTAGTATTTACATATTTCTATAATGTGCGAATTTTCTATAAAATCATTAAAGAATTTGGAAGGGGTGGTTCTGAACTTAATGTTCTTAGCATTTTATTTATAGAAGTGTGGAGCAGTTTCTTATTTCAAAGAATTTTAATGTATTTGGAGAAAACCTACTTGTGGAAATGCCAACTGGCAATTTGCATTTATATACTAAGGTTGTCAAATGAGAGACAGAATAAGAGAGAGGATTATGGGTGTAAAAATATTTATTATGGCTTCAAAAATATTTATGACAAGGTTAGGTTTTAATTGATAAATATATGATGAGACAGGAAAATACTTATTGACAGGCAATACTTACTGCAAGTGCATAAAACATTGATTAGACATGCTTAGGAATTTTGTAATATGCCATCATCACTAAATCAACTTTGTGTAGGAAATAAGTATTATTCTGAGAATACTAAATGAAATATTCATATAGAATATAAAATTTTATTAATTTTGATAATATATTTTATAAACTTTAATAATTTTAATGTACTCGCGCGTGACCACCTCGTTGATGGCCGAGCGGCCCTTCTTCTTCTCGCCGCCCTTCTTGGCGGGCGCCATCTGCGCGGGACACGGCGGTGAGACCCCGCGAGACCCCGGCCCGCCCGCCCGCGCCCCCGCCGGCCGCCCCGCGCGCGCCCCGCCGAGGATGGACGCGGATGGACGAAGGCCGCGGCCGCCCGCACTCACGGTCCGACCGGGGAGAAAGGAAGGGCTGGAGCGATAGCATAGCGGGTAGGGCGTTCGCCTTACAAGCGGCCAACATGGCCGACCCGAGTTCGATTCCTCCGCCCCTCTCGGAGAGCCCGGCAAGCTACCGAGAGTATTCGATATGCCAGACACAGTAACAACAAAGTCTCCAATGGAGACGTTACTGGGCCCGCTCGAGCAAATCGACGATCAACGGGAGGGCCTTTACCTTTACCTTTACCTTAATAATTTTAATATAGACTAAAATGTATAGGGTGTTTGAAAATAAGTTAAGTACAGCAAAAATATATAATGAATTAAAAGAATAAGTTAAAGTGGTTTTGGATAAGATTTTAGAAACATTTGAATTCCCAAATTATTCACTGGGAATAAGTCAATGATGATGAAAGAAAGAAAGAAAGAAAGAAAGAAAGAAAGAAAGAAAGAAAGAAAGGAAGGAAGGAAGGAAGAAGGAAAGGAAGGAAGAAAGGAAAGAAAGAAAAAAGGGATGGAAGGGATGGAGGAAGGGAAGGAAGGAGGGAGGGAGAAAGGAAGGAAGGAAGAAAGAAAAGAAAAAAGGGATGGAAGGGATGGAGGGAGGGAAGGAGGGAGGGAGGAAGGAAGGAAGGAAGGAAGGAGAGAGAAAAAAGAATGAGGAAAACTACATTGAAGCAATAGATTTGGGTTTGATCAGCAGAATTTGAGGGGTTTCCCAAAAGGGAGTTTTATGCTAAATACTATGTAAAATGAGAGGAAAATTCTGAAAAGGCAGACAAAGAACTGACTAATGGAATAAAAGTTAAATTATGGGAGAATAGAGAACATCAAGATAGCTAGCAGAACAAATTCATAGGGTTAGATTATGAAAGGCGGCCATAGTTAAATGAATTAAGAAAAGGATTGACTAGGAGTGACTAGTGATGGAGGGCATGGGAGACAAAGCAGTACAAATGAAATGAAGTGGAATAACCAAGACAGAGTAGATTTCAAGAGAAAAGAAAACTTCGTGCATGTTACTGTTCACTTATATTATTTTTAAATCAAAGGCAAAACACTATGAAAAAAGGCCTTTAGAAATACCTAATAGTGCTTATTATGGGATGTTCCTAAAATATTCTGTAAGAAAGAAAGTTTTCCAGGCTTTTAGAAAATGGGAAATAGAATTTCGTATGTGCTCCTTCAAAGACTTATGAAAGCCTAACGACTCCACAAACTTATTTTATGCTTTGTGTTTTCCAAAGTGGGTAATAATCTCCACCCCAAGTCCTGGTACTGGAAGGATCTATAAGTTTCCAGTGAAATTGAGGGATTTCTGTTCGAGTAAAGAAGGTAGCTTTAAGGAGAGTGCTCAGTGACTTTAATATTTCTGTAAAGGAGGCAATAATCAGAATAAATCTAGAAAACTTATGAATGGTGTTTGTGGAGAACTAGGTCCAATTTATAAATGATCTTATAGCATATGTGTTTAATCTTGTTTCTTCTGAGTAATCATCTTATTCAATGACCTGGTGTTCACTTTCCATTAAAACTAGATAATAGTAAAGATTTCTAATAGTTGCACACCTTCTGTCATTTGAGAATAACTGAATAGAGAGAATAATAGAAACTTCATAATGAAGAATGTTATTGTGTCGTTTCCATGTCATAAGATTTCATC